AACAAGAAACACATGAAATGACAAGAAGGGACTGCTACCTTTGCTACTTCTGTTAGGAGTGACCACAGATCTCTAAAAAAGAACCAGAACAAAGCCAGAATCCTCATCTAAAATCTGCTTTCAGATTTTCAGATCAGAATTTTTTCCAGCTACCACACTACCACCTGAAAACTGCAATGAACTAATTCTTCCAATAGCTTGGATACATACACTTCAGAAGTTTTCTTACATCATTTTAGTAAGAATTTGATCCATAATCTTGTCAAGCTTGTGTTACAATTTAAAAGTACTGAGAAAATACATTGCTGAGTTTCTCTTTAGACCTTGTTGCTTTTTTCTTATTAAGAAAATAATTGTTGACTGCCTTGTACTATCCTGTGATCTGAGCTCAGTCAGGCTGATTAGCAGTGACAGCATGTCAGAGGTCATTACCATTAAACACACCTCAGTGAACAATTCCATGGAGTTGTTATTCCATCAGTGTAGTCCTCACAGGTGGTTTTAAGAATTGCAGGGAATGAACTCCAGATCACTTTGGGCTGTAACCTGCATGCCTGAGCACCCTCTGCTGCTCTGAGCAGCTCCACATGGTCCCACAGTCCCAGGGGACTCATCCAGTGCAACCACACTGCTGGAAGAAACAACACCTGAGCATCTATAGCCAACCCTTGTGGTTCATCTGGGAGAGGCTAGAAACAAGGTTCTAGCTTGGTAGAACCCTGGTATTTTCAACTCAGAGATTATGGCTTCAATAAGCCCATTGCCAAAGGAAACATGTCTATGTGTGTGTTCTATATGTCAGTAAATATATATAATTTAAGTGTATATATGTGTATATGTCTGTATAAGTATTATATATGCATTTATATATACACAGACATCCATATATGGATATTCACATTTATATAGGTGCATATATCTGCAATGTTCATACAGATATCTGTATTTTAACATACATGCACATAGATTTTCTTGACCATTTCTTTTCATGAACAGGCTTTAAGCTTGTTCTCCCATTTTCACTCTGATTCATATTGGCAAGAAATGTGTTTGTATGCCTATTAGTCTGTACAGAGAGGCAAGGAAGAAAGTGTGTGTGTACAGATATAAACACATATTTTGCACGCAGTCTCAGCTGACTATAATCTGTAGGTCACCACCTACACCACGAATACAGATGCATTTCTCTACCAGCAGGTCCACTTTCACATATCCTGCATAAAAGCCATTGCAACATGACTAGGTCAGCAGCATTTTGGCCTTCTCTCTCCTTAAACAAATGCTAAATTCCTTGCAGTCTGGTGGAACAATCCTGAAGGTACTAGCTGGACTGCTTGCAGTGGCCCACTTTCTAACAAATATCTGAATGGAGCCTTCTCCTCTGTCAAGGTTTTCAATAAATGCAGTTCTGTGAGTGCTGGTAATTTATCAGGAGCTATAGCTTCAGGGCCAGGATGACAAGTGTCCTACAACAAACAAGCACAGTCCAATTTGGCCTAGCTAAAATTGCCAATGTTCCTTCAGAGTGCTCCTACGTAGACTGGCACCAAGCATAATCATTTTATACACATCCATGCAACACTCTGAGTGCTCCTCCCAAATCCCCAGTCTCTCCTTTACAGTCCCAAAGGAGCCCTCGGAGAAGCAGCACCTTCCATTCAAGGAAAAAGCATCACACAGGGTGGCTCAAGTGGAACAAAAGTAGCTGCAAGATGGAAGAGTGAATGAGAGCACCCAAGTGAGGATTGCAGCCTATGCTACAACAGCACAGAAATCACCTAAAAAAAAATCCTATCATCCAGTTCCATGCTACAAACTTACTCTCTGCTTATTAAAAATGTTCCAGTGAGAAAAATAAAATTACAACGGGACTGAATTTCAGACAAGGGAGAAATTCAGCCTATTAATCATTGAGTTAATCTATTTATTCACCTTGGAAAAATCCTGATCAGGAGAAAGTCTATTAAAAGAATACAGGGATTCATCTGCCACCTTGCTCACTGAATAGTCAATCAGAAAATGCCCCTTTGAACCCCGCGTTAATAAAATTCTCATTAAATGCAAATCTGCACAATGTTATCTTGAAGAGGTGCATTAGTTTTTAAAAAAAAACTTGTCTCAAAATGTGTTTATTTCCTCATAGGTGAGAAGGTGAGTTTTTAAACCACCAACTGCTGCACCTTCCTATTTCAACCTCATCAGTGCTGCAGCTATATCTTGCAGTCTATCATATCTCAATTATTTATGAAAACCACAGAGACAAATCCACAGAGAGAAATTATAATGACTATTATGAGATAGGACGGCAATCAGAATCACTCATTCTGGTTTGGTATGTAAGATTTTCAGACAGATAAGGATATTATTATTCTTTCTTCTTCAATTTTTCATTTTCTTTGGGTTGGACAGAAATTATGAATTATCTGTAGAAAGGAAAGAAGGCAGGAATAGTCTCCCTATCTCTTAACACTCAAAAAGAATATTCATGACTGCTTTTTTGACAGGAGTAAGGACAACAAAATTCAAATAATCAGCAACAACAAAACTCAGACCCTACTGGAGAATTTTTAGTCCAACTAAAGGGTGCTCTTCATACCATAATAGGACACACAAAGTGGGATCTCTCTGCGGCTGAGTTTAAAGAAGAACGTGTCTAAGATTCTCTAGGCATTACTCATCCTGTCTATTTAAGCAATTAATCAGCAGAACTCATCAGTCCAGCACTGTGGGGTACAAGGAGGACTGTTTCAGTGCCTCCTCAATAGTTACTCCTGTAACACAAATGCATTGCAGCCTTGAAACACTGTAAATAACACACCACTCCTCTCCCAGCAGAAATGCACATAAAATTGTACACTAGGATTTAAGACACTTGTTAAAGCCCACTGTATGCATGCACAGGCAGATGCTTTTATATTTCTAAAACCCACTAAAAGCCCTAGGATAAGGAAATTGCAATGCTTATTTATTTTTAAATAGCTCGTGTAATGAGACCAAGATATAAACCAAAGCATGACTTTGCACTTCAGAGTTACAGCAAAAAGCAGGTAATCACTGCTCATAAAAACTTTACAGAATGATGAAGCAAGGGGAGGAAAAAATCCAGTGTGGATTTCTCTAAATTCATTTCCTTCATGGCAAAAGCATCCAAATAAGACAGCACACTAAGACCACGCTAAGGGAAAACCAAAGGGGCAGAAACAAACAGGAAATACAGATAATGGGGAGCTAAGCCGGGTTCTAGTCCCTGTCACATCACACTGTCAAACGTCTTCACAAAAGCACACTACCTTTGGACTTCTCTGGCTGCTCTGAAATCTATTCAGCTAAAGAACCCTTCAGATGTAGTATTTTTACTACCAGAAGAAGACAAAACAGAAGACAAAACTCTCCTCCTTCTCTTTTTTGAGAGTGAGGAAATGGGATAAATCAGACTAACTTCTCAGAATTCTAATCCCTCTCAAGGCCTTGAATCATCTGTAATTTAGACCTTTACTGATTTTACTGAATGAAAAGCAGTCATTAATGAAATTTCAGCATAGATGAGCAGTTGGGAGGAGCAGAGGAAAGCTACCGTAAGTCCAGAAGAGAAACAGAGTAGAGGCTCCACAGATTGCAGACACGAACATGTCTCATACAGGTTGTCCTTGAAGGTGTATCATGTTCATACCGTAACAGGACACACAAAGTGAGGGTTTTGCTGGTTTTTTGGTTACATTTTGTTTCAACTGAATGCTGATCTTCACAAAAAGCAGTTGCAAAGCCAACAGGAAATAAGCCCATGCAAAGCCTTGGTTCCACAAACCCGAGGTGAGCACAAACTCTCTGTGATCACTTGGTTTTTCTCTCTTCCAAGTGTAGACTTCTCTTGCTGGTTATACTGAGCATTCCCAGAGCAGGCACTTTGTCACATTTAGTGACATTAGTCAACAGCCACCTGTTCTGCTGCTTCACTCCAAGTGCACTATCTACCCACACATGTTCACTTACATCTGTTTAAAAAACTGCAAAAATAAGGATAGCAGCAAAATAAGTCTAGAATCATATATGATGCTTACAGACTTTTTGAGGGAACCTTTAAGGTGGCTTACAGACATGTAGATGTATATTGACTTGAAAAATGCCCTCAGGGAGTTTGTCCTACACAATGTCTTTTGTAATGAGGAAAACAATGAGTACTAGCAATGCAAGACTACTGAGCTACTTGGTGTTGCACAGACGCCAAATGTCTGGAGTGACTAGGGAAGTGATACAGAGATTTTTTTTCAGTAGAAGTACTTTTATCTTACAGGGTTTCTTATAAGCCAGAGCTAAGAAGGAAATTTTCCCTCTCAACATTCCTCCATTTTCCAATCAATTATATCCATGATCTTCTTACCCAGTACCCAGCTTGGTCACTAGTAGCTGCCATAAAAATAAATTACTCCCATTATGAAAGAATACATACCTAGATTTACACACCTTAGCCTTACAAGTAAAGCATAATTTCTCCCTTCTGCCCTTGAACAGGAAGTGGAGGTTTAAGAGAACATTGAAATGTCCTTAAATAATCAGTTTTAAACACACAAAAATCTTGCAATGTTAAGAGGCCTCAAATCTGCTTATTACAGCAGGCTTACAGTCCCCTTCATAGCTTTGTGGAATTGCTATAGAACCATGCAACAGAAATCTATTAGGTTCACAACTGCTCTGCCAGCACAGCATTATTCTCTACTGTATAACTTCTCCCAAGAATGATATGAGGATTAATTCATTACAGTTTGTGCTATGCTTTGAAAGCACTCAGTCTACAGAAGACTTGAGAATTATTAGGGGACAATCAAACTCCAGTAATCATTCCTTTATGCCTGCAAGCCCTGTCTGAGCAACAACTTAGCCCAACAAGTAGAACAGATTCAAAACAACATTCATTAAAACAAATGTGTAACTGTCATGATAAAAATGTAGTCATACACAGGAAATGAGAAACCTTAAAAGAGCAATTAACTTCCACTCCTTACCTAATATTGACTAATGCATGGGTCACCTTGCTTGCAGGCTCTTTCCATTGACCAGCATTGGTAGACAGCCTTAGAACTGAAAGGAGAAGAAAGTTAACAGTGCTGGCACAGAACTGGTAATTTCATAATTCAAAACAGGAAAAAAAATCTGCTTTGGCAAGATGGCAGTCCAGGAACCACATCAAAACAAAGATCATCTTTGAGAATCTGTGATCCAGGGTAGAAATTCCCTTCAAAGCCCATCTAAGAAACATAAGGGACATGGGAGGGGTGAGCAGAACAGAATAATGACTTAAGCCACAGGGGATGGGAGAACCTGGGTGCTCCCAACTGCTTTCACTGTCACACACAGAGTTTATTTTCTCCAGAATCAGAGCAGCATCCCAAACCTAGAACAGCTCTCATTCCACACACAGCTGTTCTCCTTCAGCTCCTGCTAAAGCAAGGTTCCATCTGAACTGGACTACATAGTGCAGTTAAAACCCTCTCCAGCAATGAAGAATTCTTCACATGCCCATTTATCTAGAGCTGCAGAAAGAAATTACACACCAGGGTAAAGAAAAAGCACTGCCTGTAGGAAGAAGGGTGGTGTTCTCCTGCACAGATGGTCTCTGACAGACTTAAGAGCAGATCTGAAAACATTCTGCAACAGGAAGAACTTCTAGGGAATCCAATTCTTTTCTGCCAGAGTACCAAAAATACTTATTTAGGTCAAAATATGTAGTGTTTTTATGGTGGCAGTTACTTGCACAACCCTTGGCAAGCATCAAAACAATAACAGATCCTGTAGCAGATGTTTTGATTAATTTCCATCTTGCCTGAACAAAGGGAATTTTCTATGAATTTGTAGATACAGGGTTTTCTGGAGGTTAGACTCCACAAGAATTGTTCACCCTCAATTTAGAAGTGAAGGAACAGCTCACCACCCAAATTTAGGATCATGCAGAAGCATGGATTCTACAAGTGAATGGTTAAACACAGTGGTTGCATACTTATGCTTATAATTGAAGGAATTGACTGAACCTTTCAGTCCTGCAGATCTGGATCAAGTTCAGTTTCAGAACAAAAGAAAAAAAACAAATCAATTAGATTCCACCTCCACTCCCAACATGGAAAGTTTCAACCACATTAACAGAAGAACTAAAGGATTGAGTTGCTTTCTCATCTCTGCTAATACCCCAGGGCTAGGGGACAGAAGGGTCACTGGAGTCTCAGAGATGGGCTGACAAGCAAAGGGAAGCTATCAGGCCACCTGGTAGCTTTCATTAGCTTGAGACAGTGCTACCTTCTCACCTTCTATTCTACCATTACATGCCATCTGCAGAAAAAAGCTGTCATCTCTGAGTAACATTGTTTTGTCCCACAGTAGGTACTGTGCTAGAATATCTGAAGCAATATATTCAATTCAGGCATCTGCAAGAGTAATTCAACAGGGTTTACTCTACATAGGAGGATGGCAAACATACATGTGATAAATTGTTTCAACAGCTCAGTTGTGCCTTTTGCAACCCAACTGAGGAAGAATTTAAGTGCCTTGTTCTTCTATTCCACTTACCTTCAGCTTCTACAGGGGATGGGTTTGAAAAACATATAACCTAGTAAGAGCACCACACCTCACTTCACTAGTTGCAGCTCTACTCAGGGAGTAGAAAATGGGTAAGCAAAAAATCTTATGCACTCAGAAGGTACAAAAATGGCCAAGCAATCCCTTATGTAACAGTTGAAAACTGTGGGAAATTTATGCAAAAGGGCAGTTTGTTTCTGCTTGCAGTTACAGGGCGTACTCAGCTACTTTCATTTAGGTGAGGATGTTTCTCCCCCATGTCAGAAGAGGGCTGTGGCCCAATTGTCTGCCCTTTAGCTCTCCTTAAACATTTATATAAATTCCTGTTGTTCCTTGGGTGATCAGGCTGAGAAGGGAGCCGAGGGTGAAGGAATGAAAGGTCCTTTTGGAATGAAGCAAACAAAGCTTCATTCTTTGAACACAGCTATATTCTTTTTTCACAGCTTCAAGTATGCAGCACACCAGTGCTGGTGCAGCTACCCTGGGCTGCAGGTGCCAGTGTCTAACACTGACTGATTATGCCTCCATGCATTCCTTGCTTTTCTTTGTTCCTCCTCCCTGCTGGGTGACACTTGGCTCCCTTCCCTCTCTCTTGAAGGTTGGCAGCTTCTCCCTGTTTTGCCAGGGGGCACATTCTTCAGTCCAGCAATTCACTTGTCACTGCAAGCAGGTTTGTGAGGGCTGTTTTCTTGGTTGCTTTGGCAATGAGTGAAGTGGATGTGATTTGTCTAGCACAGCAAGCCTCCTGCTGTAAGTTTCTCAAATTCTTTTCCAAATTCTTACTTGCATTCAGTGTTTCTCTGTGCTGGGTAGTTCTGCAGCATGTACCTGCTTTTTGACTTGAAATTGTCAAATGTAACAGAAGAAAACTACACAAAATGCATGAAATACCACATACTCCATTGTGACAATAAATTTATATTTCCAACATTAGGTGACAGAGGCAGGGGCAAGGAGCCTGTTCGTATTTTTTGTGACATTAAAAAAACCTTATCCTTTTAATAAGCTTATCCTTCTCTCAATTCTTAATTTACTAACATGCCCTAGTGCACAAAAGATGTTCACTCAGCACAGAAGACATCGGTAGCAGGTAGACAGCAAACACTTGACACAAACATCCCTCTTCCACCACCCTCACTTCCAGGCAGCAGCAGTCCTGACGAGTCAGGAGGTACTCACCCATAGAATAAAGGTTGTCAAAATTCTGGTGCATGCGAATGATTTCATAATAGAGCTCATCATAGCTGCTGGGAGTGGGCAGAAATGTGTCTCCATAAGTGATGAACATGTTGAACAGGTTCACAACCTATACAAGTGAAAAGAAGTTGCAAGAGGAACACTTACCCCAAATCTATTCTGCAACAGAAGCAATACACATTATGTCAAAACTTGCAAAGGAATAGCTTGCAGTAGCAGCAGATTTTCTTCATAGTACCAAAGAAACAGACAAGAAGCTTAAGTACTGTTTTATCTAGGGCCAGAAAGGCATGTTTCTATTTTGAATACAAAAGACCACAGAACAAAAAAAAAAAAAAATTAACAAATGTGGAAAATTAAACTAGGCCTTTCCTCACACAGACTTCTTTATTTCACCCTATAGTGAGTCCAAGCAGTGCCCTTTCCAAACACCTAGTGAAACCAACCACAATATTCCCCTGCTTCATGGCCTTTTTCTCATAACTCCTTAACAGGCCAGAAATCCTTTCTGGAATCCTTTCAGCATTACAATTCCTTCCTAATATTAGTTCACAATTAAATTGTTAAAATTAAGAGGATTTGTGCAAGGGTGAAGATGCTTACCATAAGAGCAAGGGTGAAGATGTTGTGCTTGGCCAGCAACACAGTCTCATTAGACATGAGGAACTTCAACAAGTTGATCAAAGCTAGGAGAAAATAATAAGTATTTTTAAAATACTATAAAAAGCAAAGCCATTCTCAACAACTTATATACAGATGCGTTTACGATATCTAGTGTAAATCAAACTAAATGCCAGCTGTTCACCTCAGAAATGTATCAATTTATATGTAGGATTTGGCGGTGCTTTTTGTTGCTATAATACCCTGCCAAACAGGTAAGTGACAGTTACTTTACCTTCCCACATTTATTCTCCTTCACTGACTTCCCAATCAAATCTACTCAGGCTCAAGGTACATCCCTTGCTAACTCAGTTCAAGATTTTTCTATCAGCTAGATCCTGGAGCGAGCTTTGGGGTTGGAAAACCCAACTGTCTCGTTTCTGCTTCACATATCACCAACATGATGTATGCACAGGCAGCCCCAAACTGTCACTCTTGTTGATACCCGCAGTAATAAAAAATAAAAAAGGTAAGAAAACCCCCACAGCACAGCTTTTCTGTAGCTCTGTGTCAATGCTGCTGTACTGGCAAAAAGGAGGATGTAGTACTTTATTGTGTCAGTTATCTGGGGCTGTGCCGTAAAGATTACAGATCTGGTTCACACTTGTCTTAAATAATAAAACAACAAAAGCTCCTGCTGTAACCACCCAGTATCGGTTAGTAACAGTGGCAATTAACAAAAAGGTTGGCTAAAAATGCTTTAATCAAACAGACTTTACAATAAACAACTGCATTCCATGCACTTGAATAAAATGTAAAGTTTCTTATCTTTTTTTTTTCCTAGTTGTTGAAATTTTCAGAAAACTAGTTTCTTCTGCATTATAGCTGTTCAGGAGTGAAAGCTGATGCCTGACTAGAAGAGATTCTTAATGTACTCTCTTCTCTGAAGTCAACACATTTCAAGACTTAAAACATCTGAATTAAGATGTCCTGAAAAGTCAATGCTGGAACACTGTACACATCTTTTTTAAAAGGTTCCTAATTATCTACTAATTAGTAACTTCATCCAACAGAACAATACCAGGCATTACTCCTATTTCTTACAGGCACAAGTAGAACCCGTTAATCCATTTTTCCCCACCATTACACAGGTGTCACACACCGTGCAGTAACTGGTGAGAAAATAAACTGTGGTTTGGGGGAACTCCACAGTGAATGCAGAAAAGACCATTCAGCCCAAGCAAGGTACAGGCTATGAAAGAGGAAGAGATAGAGCACAGGGAACAGGAATGAGGTATGGGCAGAATTTCCATACTCATCCCCTTCAAGATTGCAAAGTATTCACAAAAGGTAAAATCAAAAAACCTACAGCAAAACCAAGCAAGCACACCAGTCTGATCTTGAATTAAACAAAACTGTCAGATTCCAAATGCAGTCCTGCAAGCTCTACTTTACAGTACTACAAGTTCACCATGAGTATCACAAGTTTATACATGCACACCCAAAGGGAAGTCTGCAGCCCAAGGTGGGTATTTACTCATCACAGGCAGAAGCTACTTCCATCTAATCTTCCAGCAGGTGCCTGATGCTGAACTGAAAACCAGGAATGAACAAAATTCTCTGCAAACTCCAGACATGCAAGTGATGCATCTTTCAGAGCTATTCCAGGATTAACCATCAGCAATAGCATTTCTCCCTTCCATGTCAGCAGCTCACCTCATGAAGCAAATACATTAACACCTTTTCAATCCAGCCACTTAACTCTCTGTACCATCATCACCCCATCATCACACAAACTCCTGGGACCAAAAGCAGAGCCTGGATGCCACAGTAACACAGCTCTGAAAATACCCCTGTCAGTTCTTTTCCTGCAAAACAAACGTTTCAAAACAAAGTAGCAGGTACAGATGGGCTCTCCACCAGAGCAAAGATCCAGCTAAAAACAGGTTGCCAAGGTAACCAAAACTCCACAGCAAAAGAGTCTCCTGCAGTCAGTCAGTGCCTTGGACTGCAGACAGCTGCCCTGCATCTCTGTCACAGCAGCTCATTGGCCATTTCTCCATCTCATGGTTACAAGCTTGGTTTTACCTCCTTCCCACCCACAAAGTCCACAGGGCCACAGCCCGTGACCAGGTGCTGCTGTTCAATTACCAGCAGCTTGGCTTTGTGGAAGCAAAGTAGCAGAGCTCTGGATTTCCTATGACAAGTTGTGAGAAGCCCCATGTTCATTTCTTTGCCTCTTACTCTCCCACAAGAGCCCTGCTGAATGGCCTTTGTCAGCAGGTCATGGCATAGTGTGACAAGGAGCCACCAACAGCCATCCAAAATCAGCGAACATGAAAGCTGCCCATGAAGAGGAGAAAGTATTTTTAAAAGAACAAGTGTATTTGTCCAGAGCACAAGCACCCACCAAACGACAAGGACAAGCACCCTACAACTGCCCACTGCAGTACTTCTCATAAACCACCCTGAAGCGCTTGTACTGCTCTATATTGGTGACAACACTTGAAGGAGAACTTTCTCTGTTCTAGCTCTACATTTGTTTCAGCCATTGTGATGAATCTATGTTTAATTTTCCTGTTTCAGTTACAAAGAAGACAAGAGATTAGCTCTGCTTGAAATCAGTATTTATACCTGAATTGCACTGAATCATAGCCCACTCAAAACTTTCTGTGCTGTTCCTTCCCAAAGAACTAGGAAGGAGAGGGACATGCTTCACATGAAGAAGAAACTGAGTGTGGGCTCAGAGCCCAGCCACAAGAACTACCCTATCAGAGGTTTACAGCCACTATGTGCCCTGCACTGAAAAATTTAATCAACTGCTAGGAAACCACACATTCCTAAAAAAGTTGCAGTGTTCCTAACTGGGATATACACTACATCAACACTAAAAGAGCAGCCAGTCTTTTTCCACACCAGCACATTCTGCAGCAGCCTCTACTCAAGTGTCTCTAAGGACCACAAACACTGTGGAACCTTTAAATCCCTTTGCCATGTCTCTGTAGTTTGTTTGTAAGGCAGACTCTGTGCTGAAAATTAGGACAGCTATGCCCTGAAGTTTTCAGAGCTAGCAACTTTTAGATCTGGCTTCACATGCCTAGTGCCCTTCAGCAACAATTACACACACAAAATAAACCTTTAGAGGAAAGTCCAACTGACTGAACACCCCTCTGCCCTTGAGCTCCAACAGAGCACTGATGCTACTATTCCTAAACTTTATTACTTCCTAAATCTGAAGCCAAACCAGATGTGTCACATTTTCCCTGCTGCAATCAACTGCTCTCCTCTCACACCCCACCTGCAGACTGCCCTTTCTAGCCAGGAAATTATCTTTCTTTTTTTTTTTCCCCAGCAGAGGAGCAATTCAGTCTCCCAGCTGCACAGGCAGACACAAATGTGTTCCTTGCTTGGGCTCAGCCACCTTATCCCAAATTATGCTCCAGGGTTTAACGGCAATGGATGGTTTGGGTATGAGATCTATTTCAACATTAACTGGAAAACAATTTTTGCAGTACCCTCTAGAGCCCTTTTTTCCTCCCTAAAGATATCTGTTCTTGGCATTCATTAGCAGGACCTGAAACACCCACTGTGGTGAGTCTTGGAACATCCATAATTTCACAATACAACAGTGCCATTAAGATTTCTTTAGTAATAAAGGGAGAAGGCTGTAACTAAACAAGCAGCCACCAGTATGTTCCTGTAAGTGACCTGAGCTGGGTACACTGGCTGTGCTTCTTAACTCAACAAGAAGAGAACACAGCTTTGGACGCCTGTGTTTAGAGCCTCAAACCCAAGTGGACAAGCATGCTGAGAGCCATGTGACAGGCTGCATGTGAAAACGGGTATATAGCACGTTGACTCTTGGACAATTTTCTCTCCAAAGGATAATTACAGCCAAAGGATGAAAAGTGACATCAAAGATATCCTCCCTACTTTTTAAACTGAAATGACTGCAGTGAAAGAACCTCTTAGCTCTTTTGCTGCACAGCTGCTTTTAAAGACACTTTCCCTTATCAGCTTCTGTAGCCACTCTGTCTGCTAAGGAGCAGCAGTACACGCCTGCTCAGTTATTTGCTGCCCTCCCTCAAGCCAGTCCTCTGTGAGAAGACTGTGGGCAGCCACCATCTCTCATTTTCTTCTACCAGGAAGGAGGTAATTCCTGTTACAGTTGCCCTCCACTCCCTCCTTCCCCTATTCCTATTCACACAGTAGACTTACCTTCTCCCCCTGTAAGCCTTGTTTCACACAGAAGTATATTCAGCCCCAGGTGAATTTGGATTCACACAAAGTTGGGGGTTTATTTATTTACTGTCTCAGTGTTCTCTGTTTGGATCATGTGTAATGCAATGGGACCATGGAGGTAGGCCAAGAGAAAAGGGGGGAAAAAAGAGTAATATTATCCCCTGGGCAAGTCAATGTAGCACAGACTCTGCCAGGAGCATCAGAAGGCTCTGATGTGTTATTGCACAATGGAGCAGAAGAGAAAAGCCCTGAAACACTCATCAATGAGAGCTTGGATGGGTTGAGCACAGTACAGAGGCCTCTGTCACTGCATCTGCTGCACTTACAGGTCAAGGATCTTCTAATGGTGCATATAATGGCCCTCAAGAAAGGAGCAAGGCAGAAAGAGATATGAGGGCTCCTCAGCTGCAGTATAACATCCATTAAAAAGATCCAGTGCTCTACTAAAATTCTCCAATTTTCTACCCTTCAATTTTCAGGACACACGGGGAGGAACAGTGACTTTCCGTTCCCTCTAGAAGTTACCATTGAACCAACAGTGTATTCAGTGTCCTCCTTCCAGTGTCTCAAACCAGAACCCCCTTAGATGGATCACAATCCCCTTAGAAGGATCCCCACCCATCTACCACTGGAAGGCAGCTGATCGTGACATCCAGACAACACTTGCATGCTGCAGAGAAGTCATCTGCCCACAAGTGCTTCAGCAGCACAGTAACCACCCTGCACCTCCTACAGCCATCCTGCTTACATGCAGATACTGCCAAGGCAAAGTCCACACTACTCACTGTAGCCAGATCCGGTTAAGGCCGAGTGCAACTAAGAATAGAGTGGATTAGATTCTCCA